CAGTTAACCTGCTAAAAGTCAAAGAGGATATATCTTGAAAGCAGGAAGAGGAAAATGATACATATAGGGCAACAGTGGAAAAAAAGTAATGGTTATTCAACAACATTGTAGAATACAAAATAAACAGACAAAAATCAGTTGTAGCCAGGAGCAGTGGTGCGTGTGCCTGACCAGCTACTCAGGAGGCTAAAGCCAGAGGATTGTTTGGGCCCAGGAATTTGAACGCAGCCCGAGAGCAGCATAACCAGACCCAATCTCTCAAACCAAATTCTTAAAAAGTCAATTATATTTCTATAAACTAGCAATGGACATATGGATATCAGATGCTTAAATATATTATTTACAGTCACTCAGAAAATGAAATACTTAGGTGGAAGTCTAATAAAACACGTATAGGACTTGTAACTGAAAATTATAAAACTAATGAAGAAAAAGAAGATGCAAATAAAGAGACATACCATATTTATGGACTGGAAGACAACATAGTAATGATATTCTCCCCAAATTGGTACATAAAGTCATTCATTTCAAAATCCCAGTAAGATTTATTTGTAGATATGCACAAAATGATTCTAAAATTTGTACAGAAAGGCAAAATAACTAAAATAGCTGGTATAATTTTGAAAAGAAAAATGTGAGAAGAATTCATCTACCTGATCTTAAAATGTGTGACATAGCTGCAGTAATCAAGACTGTGGTACTGACAGACATAGATCAGTGAAACAGAAAAGAGAACCCAGAAATACTAACCCATGGCCAGGCACGGTGGCTCGTGCCTGTAATCTCAGCACTTTGGGAGGCTGAGGTGGGTGGATCACCTGAGGTCAGGAGTTGGAGACTAGCCTGACCAGTATCGCAAAACCTCATCTCTACTAAAAATACAAAAATTAGCTGGACATGGTGTGCGCCTGTAGTCCCAGCTACTTGGGAGGCTGAGACAGGAGAATTGCTTGAACCAAGGAGGCGGAGGTTGCACTAAACTGAGATCACACCACTGCATTCCCCACTGGGCGACTGAGCAAGATGCCGTCTCAAAAAAAATGACAAAAAAAAAAAAAAATACACAAATACACCCAGCTAATTTTTGACAAAGATATAAAAGCAGTTCAGTAGAGGAAAGATAGCCTTTCACCAAATGGTGTTACAGCAATTAGGCATCCATAGGTTAAAAAAATGAATTTAAATCTAAGTTTTACTTACGCCTTACATAAAATTAAAACAGATAATAGACTAAAATGTAAAACTATACGACTTTTAGGAAGAAAAAACAGGGCCGGGTGTTGTGGCTCATGCCTGTAATCCAAGTGCTTTGGAGGCCAAGGCAGGCGGATCACCTGAGGACAGGAGTTCAAGACCAGCCTGACCAACATGGTGAAACCCCATCAAAAAAAAAAAAAAAAAAAGCAATAAAGATTAAAAAAAAAAAAAAACAGGAAATAATCTTTGGAATCAAGGGCTAGGCAAAAAGTTCTTTACTTAATACCAAAAGTGCAATCCATAAAAGGAAGAAATGATAAATTGGGCTCCATCAAAATGTAACCCTTTTGCTCTGTAAAAGACTGTTAAGAGGATCAAAAGACAAGCTACCACCTGGGAGAAAATATTTGCAAACCACTTATTTGAGAAAGCACTAGCATCTAGAATAAAAAATGTTCAAAGCTTATATTTAGAAAGAAAAAGTGCAGTCAGAAAATAGGCAAAAAAGGATGAACGTTTTTCCTGTAGAGGATATAAAAATGGCACATAAGCACACGAAGAGGTGTTCAGTGGTGTTAGCCGTTATGTACATGCCATTAAAACCACGTGAGATATCAGTACACACCTATCAGAATAGCTGACATAAAAATTAGTGACAACACCAAATACTAGGAAGGATCACTCGTACAGTGCTGGCATCCGGGTAGAATGGTACAGTCCCTCGGGAACACAGTTTAGGTATTTCTTTAAACATACAGTTACCACACCCCAACAATTGCACTTCTGGGCGTTTATCCAAAAAAATGAAGATTTGTGTTCACACAAAAAACTGTACTTGAATGTTTATAGCAGCTTTATTAGTAGCCCAGAACTAGAAAGAAGTGAGATATCCTTCAATGGGTGAATGGTTAAACTGTGGTACACTCATGCCATGGAATACTACTTAGCAGGAAAAATGAACAAGCTATTGATACACGCAACGGCCCGGATGAATATCTAGAAAATTATGTTGAGTGAAAAAATAATTCCCAAAGGATATATACTGTATTATTCAAGTTACATATACAATTATTTTGCTCCCCCTGCCCTCCGCCAAGTTATACATACATTTTTGAATTGACGCAGTTATAGAAATGTGAGAGAGATTAGTGGAGAACAGATTAGTGGTTGCCAGAGTTAAGGAGTTGGAGGTGGGAGGGAGGTAAACTTCAGGTGCAGTCTGAAGGATCCTTGTGGTGATGGAAATGTCCTATATTGTGACTCTGTCAATGCCAGTATCCTGATTGTTCTATAGTTTTGCAAGATGTTTCAGTTGGGGAAATCTGGGTCAAGAGTACCTGGAATCTCTGTATTTTTTCTCAAAACTACATATGAATCTACAATTATTTTGAAAAGTTTAAGAAAAGTACTGGCTGACTTCCTACTAGAAACGGCAGAGACCAGAAAACAGTAGACTGACATTTAAACCACAGTGACATTTTTTAGCTTCTTCTCTTGTATACTGCCACCAAACCTCAGCCAAATGCGTGTTTTTCCATATTAGGGACTTTTAAATGACACTGGGCTAATAGCAAATAGAAAGTTTCTTGTTGAGCTGCCCTTGGTATAAAGAGGCAATGGTGATGATGATAGGAACGTGAAGATGGGAGGTGATCTAGTTCTACGGTACCTCGTATTGTTGGGGGTTTAATTCCTTTTCACATTTCAGAAGGTTTAATATTGTCACCTTCTTAAATATATGATCATTTCTTTTTCATCTACAACTTATTTGATAAACCAAAATTGGTTTAGAATTAATAGATTCTTAATACAATTGAAAGTAAAAGTGGATTGTTTACAACAAGGCCATCCTTATCTATGTGCAGCCAACTTTCAGTTCTAGTGATTTCACTTCTTCGCCTATTATGAGACCACAGCAGTGTCAATCACCTTTGCATATTCAATCGATTCCACTCCACAGCCAGTCATTAGTGTTTGTTGTATTGTAGATGCTGAAAATAAGGACAATAGAACGGAGCTCTGTACTTCATCTCTCCCGACTGCCTCCTCTAATCCAGCATGTTAAGCTGAAAGGAGCTATTAAATGAGTGGAATAGAACCCTTGCCTTCTTTGTGTATGTGTTCTAGCTTTTTCAACTATGAAAATGTAAAAACCTAGAATTACTAAGCCTTAATCTTACAAGTCAGAATCTCCCCAGGTCGGAGCCTCTTCCTGGTTGTTATTGCATCTTCCCAGAATGGTGAGTGATAGGAGATGTATAGTTGGGAGAAAGGCAGAAAGAGCTAAAAGAGCTGTTTCGTTCACTCACTGTCCAGGTAAAGGCCATTTGCAAAAGGAAGCAGTAAAGTCCACATGGCTGCCATTCTTTCTTATTAATACCATTTTGGCTAGTGGCTCAACAAATTTCACCCATAGAAATATCATTTGGTCTTTGGTATCATTGGTGCTATTTGTATTAGTCCCAGGCATAAATACCAGTGCTGCTTCTTGCTCTTCACCATTTTTGTCTCTTGCCTACCAAAAATATCCACCTTGAGTTATATTTTTCTTTGGTCCTGCTACTCTATTTTTATTAGACTCATCCTACTTTGGGAGGCCGAGGCGGGTAGATCACGAGGTCAGGAGATTGAGACCATCCTGGCCAACATGGTGAAACCCCGTCTCTGAAAAAAAAAATGCTCAGTGAGTTGGCAAAGAGAATAAAAATGAAAAATAAAAAAAGTGACTCATCCTAGTTCATTTTATGCCTGTAGGCCTGGGCCCATTAAACCCTTTAAGTAATCATTTATGTACAATAATCTTTTTTTTAACCTCACGGGGACTCTTAATACCGTTGTGGTGGGCTGGGACATGCCAGCAGCTACCACTGTGCTAGTCAGTCCTCCACAGACTGAGAGGACAAGAGGAAGGAGTGATAGGTTTCCTGTTGATTTATTCAGTCATAGGACAGATTACAGAAGGTGAGGACATTGGACTTAGAGACTAATATTTTAGAAGGGGACAAGTTTATATAAATTTGCTATTTTTTTCCTTTTATCTGCCTTTGAAAAAAAAAGGAAGAAAACACATATTGAGTTCCTAACTGTGTACTGGTCGCTTAGGTATGTTAGCTGTTGTATTGTGTCTTTCAGTGGTAACTGTAGTAATTAAAGTATGCATTGCTCTTTGTAGTTGACAACATGAATTCATATTTATCATTTTATTTGTCTTCACGACCATCCAGAGATTGGGAGAAGAAAACTCTAAGACCTCCCAGCTGCCAAGTGGCAGAACAATCCTCAAATTTATTGCCTAGCCCAAATTCTATGCTTCTTCACCCAGGCCACATTGCTTCTAGTTGTAAGTAGTGGAAAAGTAGGACTCCAGGCCAGGCACGGTGGCTCACGTCTGTAATCCCAGCACTTTGGGAGGCCCAGGCGGGTAGATCACCTGAGGTCAGGTGTTCAAGACCAGCCTGGCCAACATGGTGAAACCCCATCTCTACTAAAAATACAAAAAATTAGCTGGGCCTGGTGGCAGCTGCCTGTAATCTCAGCTACTCAGGAGGCTGAAGCAGAATTGCTTGAACCAGGGAGGCAGAAGTTGCAGCCAAGATGGACTGCACCATCGCACTCCAGCCTGAGCAACAAGAGCGAAACTCCCTCTCAAAAAGAAAAAACAAAAAGTAGGACTCGAGAATCAGTATCCTTCCATAAACAGCTCAGTACATGAGGGAGGCAGTCGTGAGACTGGAGAGTGGATGGGACTGGACTGTGAGGGTCCCTGCTTCCTTGCTGAGGTTTTATATTTTCTTTCATTTCAGGATGGCAATGGCACGGAGAACAATGTTCCAGAAGGGGGAGGTGCATAACAAACCATCAGGTTTCTGGGGAATGATAAAAAGTGTTGCCACTTCAGCACCAGGAAGTGAAAGTATCCTTTGTTCCTCTGCTTGATTCTTTTCTCAACTCTGGAGGAAGGGCAAATGGAAAAAGTAGTATTGGGATAGTCCCTTCTAAGGTACCTGACTGCATCAGAGTCCAGGCTCCTACGGGCTAGGCTTAGGAAGTACCATGTGTACAGTCATCTTTCCAACACCCACACAAGATCATAACATTATGTCTTTGGGCTGAAGCGGTCCTAAAATGTCAGTCTCTCCATTTTACAGATGAGAAAATAGACCCAGAGAGATTAAGTCACACAGTGGTTTGTGGCAAAGCTAGGAACATAACTGTGGTCTCCTCTTCATAGTTCTTTCCGCTACACTATTACATTTCTCACCTCTGAAACACCACCATAAAGCATAATGACTACCTAAAATAAATGGCTTGTATATGGGATGGTAAAGGCCTATTATCTATCTATTTATATAGAGTTTTGCTCTTGTTGCCCAGGCTGGAGTGCAATGGCACAATCTTGGCTCAGCACAATCCCAGCTCACCGCAACCTCCACCTCCGGGGTTCAAGCGATTCTCCTGCCTCAGCCTGCAGAGTGGCTGGGATTACAGGCATGCACCACCACACCCGGCTAATTTTGTATTTTTAGTAGAGACGGGGTTCCTCCATGTTGGTCAGGCTGGTCTCAAACTCCTGACCTCCAGTAATCCGCCCGCTTCAGCCTCCCAAAGTGCTAGGATTGTAGGCATGAGCCATGGCGCAGGCCCATAAAGGCCAATTTCTAAAGTACTTAGCATTCCTAAACAAATTTTAATTAGCTCTCCTTCTCCAGTGACTCTTTGGTTTCAAGAATCAAGGAGAGGTTGGGTACAGTGGCTCATCCCTGTAATCCCAGCACTTTGCAAGGCCAAGGTTGGCAGATCACTTGAGCCCAGGAGTTCGAGACCAGCTTGGGCAACATGGCAAAACCCCATCTCTACAAAAAATACAAAAATTAGCCAGGCCTACTGGCATGTGCCTGCAGTCCCAACTACTCGGGAGGCAGAGGTGGGAGGATTGCTTGAACTTGGGAGGCTAAGGTTGCAGTGAGCCCAGATAACACCACCTCTGTTGCCCGGGCAACAGAGGTAGACCCTGTCTCAAAAAATAAAAAATAAAATCAAGGAGATTTGATTAAGAGACTAATAAATTGTTCTTTCCTGACTGGTTACGATATTGAATTACTTGCCAAATTAGGTAACCATATTTCCGTGTAGCTCTGACACTGTTAGGTCAAAACTTGGGGAACTCAGCATGAGGTAGCATGCTCCTATTTGCTTCTCTGGCCCAGGGAAATACAAATTCCTTTTTGCCTCAATTAAAGAATGATGTCTATTCTTGCTATAAATGATGATTTATGTCCTGCTGTAGAGTGAAAATAAGAAGATCAAAGAAAGGCAAGAAGATTATGGAAGAGAAAGAAAAGGGATTGATTTAGATTTATTTAATTTAGATTTATTTAAACATTTATTTCGTATCTCCTATTTCCAGGCCGAGTGCTAAGGAATAAAATGATAATACAGCCTTTCTCCCCAAGGAGTTTACCCTCTAATCATGGGAGAGACAGGCATATAACTAAACCATGTTTGGTGGCCTGAACCATGCCAATAGTAGCCACTAGAGGAACTGAAGGCCACTTACTGATTGCATAATAGTGGGAAAAAATCACAGAAAGGAGGGAGGATTTGGATTGAATGATATGCTTTTATTTTAGAAGGGGCTGTATTTACCATTTTTATTACTTAAAAGTCCATAAAAGCCAATAATACAGGTATGAGCTGTGTTAGTGATGAGTCAACAAATATATTAGGATTATTTAACCTCCCTGAGCCCCTGTTTTCCAAACAGGGAAGTATGAACTCTACCTGATTGAGTTCTTGGAAAATGACATCGTGTAATGGAAACGGCAGGCTTCGGAGGAGAAAAGGATCTAACTTTGCACCTCCACCAATTAACTGTGTGACTTTGAGCAAGTTATTTAACTCTGAGCTTCACTTTCCTTATATGCAAAATGGATAACACCTCTTTCATGGGATTGTTTAGAGAAGACAATGTTTGAAAAGAAAATGTCAGTAAATCCTAGCCTGTATTAGAACACAGTGTAAAGTGTTCGTTCCCTTTTATAGCATATAAGCATTATAGTTATTCAGATAATGTAGGAGAAAGCTATGCTTCATTATAGATGTTACTATTATGTAACCATTTACAATGTTGAATGTAACATTTGGCTTAATCTAACTAGATAAATCAAAAAACACATGAAACCATCTGTTTGAGCCGCCTGACTTCAGAGAAACTGAGTGGTAATTGTTTGGTGGTGACGCTCCTGATGGAGAAGCTTTTACACACCTGTGTCAGAGGTTGGGCACTTGCTCTGAAATAGCGCTGCTGACTGTGAAACAGGAAATTGAGAATACAGGCAATTCCTGGAATCCACTAGAGGAGAAACCAGAAGTATATGTTTTCTTATTGCCATTTCTTGAAATTCCTATGTGATTTAAACCTTGATGCCCATTTTGTGCCAGATCTTACTCTTATTCAACAGGAAGTGGATGCTTTGGAAGAACTAAGCAGGCAGCTTTTTCTGGAAACAGCTGATCTGTATGCTACCAAGGTACAGAGCAAGGAAACTGAAGTGTGGTTTTTACCAATATGATTAAAGAGAGAACAACACTAAATGGCTTTTTCGGGTTCTCTGTGGCCAAGCAAGAGACACCTCACAGCTCTGATATCAGCCGTGAAGCATTAGGGATGAGGGATCCCTCTTCATGAAATTGCTCCTATCACTAGCAAAATCCTTAATGGAACACTCTCAATAGTAGCAATTGTAGGGCTAGTCAGAAGAAGCTTTTCAACATTTAGGAAGGTGATACATACCATCTCCTACTGACCTTGTATGAAGATGGTAGCTACTTTTATTCCTTTATAAATTAGTGATATTATAAGAGCAATAGTCACCTGTCTGCAATGCATGGCCTAGCCCTATTTTAAAGGATCCAGATCAGTGTCAAAACTGCAAGAAGTAACTTTGCTATGTACACCTAAAATAAAATATAATTTAAATATGTAAAATATGTTAGTAAAGATTGCAAACTGTTTTAATTCTTTTTGAGGACAACTTTACAGGAGTAGCCATATAGAACAGAGGTTAACATAGGCTTTGGAAACAGACCTGAGCCTGCTCACCAGCTGTGTGAATTTCAGCAACTTATTAATCTCTCAGAGCCTCCATTTTTCTCATCTATAAAATTAAGGTAATAGAACATATCTCATAAGAGTCTTAATGAAGACTAAGTGGATAATGCATGTAAGATGTTATCCCAGTCCCTGGCTGAAAGTAAGCATCAGTAAATGTTGGTCGCAGCCACTATTACTATTACAGTGTATGGTTTTTTTTATTTAGCCTGAACAGTGATTCATAGAGGGAAGAATACTTGTGTTGAATATAAATTTATATTTTGCTGAGCACCATGTTTTGTGTTTGTTTTCCCCCAGGAGAGAATAGAATACTCCAAAACCTTCAAAGGGAAATACTTTAATTTTCTTGGTTACTTTTTCTCTATTTACTGTGTTTGGAAAATTTTCATGGTAAGTGTATTATTTTTAATTGTCAGAGTTTAGGTTTTTCCCTAGTAATGGCAGGGTGGTAAGAGTGGATTTGACTGATACATTGAAATAAATTCCAAATGTGATTGAGTCAACAGAGACCATGATCGTTCACATCTCTTGGCTTCATTCTTTTTCCTCTCCCCTTTTTTAGATCATGTAGAAAAGGGAGGTTGCAGTTTTCTTCTGTCAGAAATTGTTAATAAGGCTTAGTTTATGAAGTATCTAAATTGAAGCCAGAGCAGTGGCCCATGCCTGTAATCCCAGCACTTTGGGAGGTCAAGGCAGGCAGATCATCTTAGGTCAGGAGTTCAAGACCACTCAGGCCAACATGGTGAAACCCCACCTCTACTAAAAATAGAAAAATTAGCCAGGTGTGGTGGTGGGTGCCTGGAACCCCAGCTATTTGGGAGGCTGAGGCAGGAGAATCACTGGAACCCAAGAGGTGGAGGTTGCAGTGAGCCAAGATCATGCCACTGCACTGCAGCCTAGGGGACAGAGCGAGACTCCATCTCAACAAAAATAACCAATTAATTAATTAATTGAATGTGAACATTTCTTATTTTACATTCTGCTTTCTGTATTATGAGTACATGACTGTATATAACCTCAACTTCTACCTTCAGCTCAGAAGTACTTGTCCTTTTTAGTGTATACCTATTAAGTTCATAGTAAATTCTAAAATGTATTTCCATGGATAAATTCATTCGCCGTACCTATAGCTCTGATTCTTTTGTGGTTTATGTACAGTATCTGTCGTTACCTCCAATTCAGGTATTAATGGATTTCATTGTGATTACGGAAAAGGCTGATTTGGCTGTCTAGTTTGATGACTTTCCTACTGGGATTGTATTTGGGCAAAGAGGAGCTTTGTCAGCTTGTTAGTTAATTTTGATCAATGTAGATGAATGAGGGTTTTGGATATAAAGTATCTAGTGTTACAATAAATGTATGTCAATACTACTCAGATGACATTTTGAAATCTCCATTCATTGGGAGAGAATGAATGAAGATAGTATGTTCAGTTAGTGAAGCTACTAAAAGGTAAAAGGTATTTTCCTAAGATACAGCCTTTAGGGAAGCATGTCTTTTTTTTTTTTTTTTTATAAGATGGAGTCTCTGTCGCCCAAGCTAGAGGGCAGTGGCACAGTCTTGGCTCACTGCCACCTCTGCCTCCCAGGCTCAAGCAATTCTCCTGCCTCGGCCTCCCAAGTAGCTGCGATTACAAGTCTGTACCACCACACCAGGCTAATTGTTTTGTATTTTAGTAGAGACAGGATTTCACCGTGTTGCCCAGGGTGGCTTCAAATTCCTGAGCTCAGGCAATCTACCCGTCTCAGCCTCCCAAAGTGCTGGGATTGGGATTATAGGCATGAACCACCACGCCCAGCCTAGGGAAGCATGTCATTTTTTAACAGCTTTATCGGGGTATAACTGATACATAAACTGAACATGTTAACATATTTATATATCCCTGTGTAACAACCATCACCACAGTCAAGACAGAGAGCATGTCCATCCATCACTGCCGTAATATTCCTTGTGTCCTTCATAATGCCTTTCTCCCACACCTCTAGTCTCCAGACAACTGCCAATATGCTTTCTCTCATTATGTATTAGTTTGTGTTTTCCAGTATGTTATGTAAGTAGAATCCTACAATATATATCCTTTTTCTGTCTGGCATATTTTACTCAGCATGATTATTTTACATTTTATCCATGTTATGATATGTATCCATAGTTTATTCCTTTTTATTTCTGAGTAGTGTTTCCATGGTTTGGCCATGCCACAATTTTGTTTGTCCTTTCATCTGATGATGGGTATTTGGTTCTTTCCAGTTTGAGGATATTACAGATAAAGTCTCTGTGAACATTTGTGTACAATTTTGTGTAGAGGCATAGGCTTTCTCTTGAGTAGGCACTAAGGAGTGGAATGCCTGGATCATATGGCAGGTGTAATGTTTAACTTTTGAAGAAACAGCAACTCTTTTCCAAAAATATTGGTGATTAACATTTCTACCTGTACTGTATGAGTGTCAGTTCTTCCACACCCTCACCAACACGCTACATGGCCAGTCTTAATAATTTTAGACATTCTGATAGATATGAGGTGGTATTGCATTGTGGTTTTAATTAGATTTCTTTAATGTCTAATAATATTGAGCATCTGGTCATGTGTTTATTTTCCACCCCTTTTTTTTTTTTTTTTTTTGGTGAATTATCTGAATCTTTTGCCATTTATTTTTTTTTTTAATTTTTGGTTCTGAGGTACATGTGCAGGATGTGCAGGTTTGTTATATAGGTATGAGTGTACCATGGTGATTTGCTGCATCTATCAACCTGTCACCTAGGTATTAAGCCCAGCATCCATTAGCTATTTTTCCTGATTCTCTCCCTCCCCCTGCCCCACCTCGAAAGGTCTCAGTTTGTGTTTTTCCCTTCCCTGTGTCTGTGTGTTCACATTGTTCAGCTCCCACTTATAAGTGAGAACATGTGGTATTTGGTTTTCTGTTCCCGCATTAGTTTGATGAGGATGATGGCTTCCAGTTCCATCCGTGTCCCTGCAAAGGACATATTCTCATTCCTTTTTATGACTGTATAGTATTCCATGTGTATATGTACCACATTTTCTTTATCCAGTCTATCACTGATGGACATTTGGGTTGATTCCTTGTCTTTGCTATTGTAAATAGTGCTGCAGTGGACATACATGTGTATGTATCTTTATAATGGAATGGTTTATATTCCTTTGGGTGTATATCCAGTAATGGGATTGCTGGGTCAAATGGCATTTCTGGTGCGAGGTCTTTGAGGAGTCACCATACTGTCTTCCACAATGGTTGAGTTCATGTACTTTCCCACCTTCACTGTCAAAGCGTTCCTATTTTCTCTGTAGCCTTGCCAGCATCTGTTGTTTCTTGACTTTTCGATAATTGCCATTCTGACTGGTGTGAGATGGTTTCTCATTGTGGTTTTGATTTGCATTTCTCTAATGATCAGTGATACTGAGCTTTTTTTTTCATGTTTGTTGGCCACATAAATGTCTTCTTTTGAGAATTATCTGTTATGTCCTTTGCCCACTTTTTAATGGGGTTGTTTGATTTTTTTCTTGTAAATTTGTTTAAGTTCCTTGTAGATTCTGGATATTAGGCCTTTGTCAGATGGATAGATTGTGAAAATACCTCCCATTCTGTAGGTTGCTTGTTCACCCTGATGATAGTTTATTTTGCTGTGCAGAAGCTCTTTAATTAGATATCATTTGTCAATTTTTGCTTTTGTGGAAATTGCTTTTGACATTTTTGTCATGAAACCTTTGCCTGCGCCGTGTCCTGAATGGTATTGCCTAGATTTTCTTCTAGGTTTTTTATAGTTTTGGGTTTTACATTTAGTCTTTTTGATTTGTTTTGTCTTATTTTTTGAGGCCCACAAACATTTTTACTTGTATTGAATGTACTTCATGTTACACTCTACCTTGTTCACTAGTCTAAGTGAGATGATACACGACATATAGAGGAATGTTATTTATAAAATACCCAAAACCTTTCAAGTTTTTTGCTCATTCATTTCACCATGTGCTCAGAAATAATTTGCATCCCTGGGCACAAATTTCATTTCTTCCTTCAGAATGTCCACAGTATGGAACAATTATTGGTAACAAAGTATTGCAAAAGATGCAAAACAAGAACACAAAAATGGAATGCAAGAGGAAAACAACCCATTTATATGGTAGTTGATAAACAAGCTAAGGCCTGAGAAATGAATTTTAGAACTCAATTCAGTTTTTTCCATAAACCAAAGTTATAATATCTTACCTACAAATCATGTACAACTGCTTGTGAAATAGGCTTTCTTTTTTTTTTTTTTTTTTTGAGACAGAGTTTCGCTCTTGTTACCCAGGCTGGAGTGCAATGGCACCATCTCGGCTCACCGCAACCTCCGCCTCCTGGGTTCAAGAAATTCTCCTGCCTCAGCCTCCTGAGTAGCTGGGACTACAGGCATGCGCCACCGTGCCCAGCTAATTTTTGTATTTTTAGTAGAGACGGGGTTTCACCATGTTGACCAGGATGGTCTCTATCTCTTGACCTCATGATCCACCCGCCTCAGCCTCCCAAAGTGCTGGGGTTATAGGCGTGAGCCACCGCGCCCGGCCATAAATAGGCTTTCTTAGAATAAACCCATTTTGAATCACTCAGCACAGTTCAAAGACAAAAAGTAAAGATCTTTTGTAGAGAAAAGCCTTTTTTAAAATTTTTTATTTTTTTACAGGACTACCCTATAGGCTGTGCACCCAGAGTAGCTGAGAAAAGCCTTTTAAAGGCCGGGTGTGGTGGCTCATGCCTGTAATCCAAGCACTTTGGAGGCCAAGGTGGGCTGATCACCTGAGGTCGAGAGTTCAAGACCAGCCTGACCAACATGGTGAAACCCAGTTTTTAAAAAAAAGAAAAATAAGAAAAGCCTTTTAAAAACCCAAGAGATGTACTTCACACAGACTAAACCCTGATTTTGCATGTAACGGGCTGTTGATTTGGCTTAATTTTATCACACACAAGACTTGCCACAATAGTGAAGGGAAGACAAAGTCAGGCTAACAACAAAAGAAATCACAAATACAACAACACATTTCAGTTGAGAGCAGGTGCTGTTTATTAAGTGACCAGCTTGGAAAAATAATCATGGCAGACACCTTAGTTCATTCTTCTAATAAGCCTGTTGATCTCATCCTCCCTGGTGCCGGCATCTCCACCCTTCTACAAAATTGGTGGTCTTCTTCTTCATTCCGCCTCGTGGAGAAGATAACTCGAAGGGCCACAGGAAGTTACTTGCTTCTTTGAAGCGTTTTCCAACAGTCTAGATCTCATGAATCAGATCCTCCATGCAGATGATGCCATATTTTCCAAGAGATCGAGCAATCAGAGCGTCATCTGTCAAAGCAATGCGCTTCTTTTTGATTTTGCTGTAACCATGTTTGTAGATTAGTTCAT